CCCCCCCTCCCCACAAAAAAACCCCAAACCCCAAAACAACCCTATGGTCTCATACTGCTTTTGAAAATATTGACAAAATTTTGTGAGTACCGCTTTTCTCATCAAATGCATCCCTTCATTCTAATGGTTAACCCGCTAATACTACCACAGACTATGTTTCCCAACATCAAGACAGAACACCCAATAAAGTAAAACATTTGAAAGCGGGAAGAGACCCACCTCCAATTTCATCAAAACTGACGCTGGCTGCAGGCTCTCCTCCGGCAGCAGCCGGTGCTTTGCTAACAGCAGCAGCCGGTGCTTTGGTAACAGCAGCAGCTGGTGCAGGGGTCGGCTCAACACTCACAACAGGTGCAGCCTTGGGAGCTGAAAGACAATACGACAAGGTTAGTTTTTTTAGTTTAAAAAATTATTTTTTTTATAGTAAGGTTTTACGGTGCTCGCAACAGCATACGGTTATATGAGCGCCAAGGGGTGGATGTCAGCAGAGAAGTCCTTACAGGGAATCAGACTTACTCTGCTCACCTCTCTAGCTTCAACAGCACAAAGTCTGCTTCCACTATCAAGGCACCCCAGAGATAGCGGGTCACAAGAGTGTGACAAACATACAAAGGAAGTAGAGGAAAATGACGATAGTAAGGATTAGGACAGAAAAAGCAGCAGTTCCCTGTTGCAGTTCAGGCACAGTTATGAGCATGACATTGATGAATCAGCCCATTTACAATTCTACTGTGCATGAGAACTCAAGATGTTAATGTCCCTCCTTTTGGGAATGAAGACACTTCAGTCAGTAGCACCGCCCCGAGGGTGTGTTTTCAAAGTTTTAGTGAGAGTTTTACAGCACCTGCAACAATGACAAGGTTACAAAGGAAGGACACAAGCCAACACACTCTTTTGATAAATACTTTTTTTTTTTATAAGAGTTTTATGGCACTTGCAACACAGTAAGATCATAAAAGTGCTGAAGATTAGAAGTGTTGCAAGAGAGTAACAAACATGAAAAAGGAGAGATCAGGAAGACAAATGTTTGATAGGAAAGAAGGAGCAGAGCACATCAGATTTAAACTTCAAACACTATTAAACCAAACCTCTCTGCTTGGTATCTTAAAAAAATCAAAATCTAATGCTACAACTCCAGATACAGTAGAACATGGCTATGGCGAGACTTTTGGTTCCAGAAGAAAAATCCCTCTGTAGGCCAGTTCCCGCTTTAGGAATGCAAAGGGGAAATTACCAAAAAATTCCTAAATATCTCCATGATTACATCCCTTCCATATCAAAAAAATCTGCGCTTTATATTAGCCTTCCTTTTATAGTCAACTTTGCTGATTATCTCGGCCTTTAATTCGAGTGACATGCAATTCCTTTAGTCTTTGTTGGAAGCCATCTTTTTCTCAGTTTGTTGCTTGTGCTGTCTATCGTACGGGTAGGCCTACAGCATAACTGGTGCAGTGGATGCACACGCATGCCTGAGCATCAACGACCGCTTTTCAAAGAATCAGGAATCACACACTACATGCTCTCCTCTTCTTTTACTTATTGGCCTAGCCTAGCTATGGCACAAAATTCAAACCCAAGCACAGGTAATTGAGTTTGCATAGGGATTCCGGTAAGGTCCCGCTACAGTGAGGGTCCTGCTACAGTCATATTCTACTGTATAGATCTACATCACTTTTGGAGTGGTTCAGGTAATGCATCTCTCTGCATCATCTCTCCCTGCAAAACCTGTCTCTAGGCACCGCACCTCACTCATCACTGGACTAGCCAATCACAACACCGCACCGCTGACTGCCTGTTTGGAGCCCGCATACAGCCCCCCACCCCCAGCTAGAGGTCACTCGATCTCTCCCGCTGTATCCAAGTTCTGGCCTTTCCTTGCCCCGCTATACCCAAGCATAGGTAATTGAGTTTACATAGGGGAAAAAACGGGGATTCCGGTGAGGTCCCACTATAGTCATGTTCTACTGTATTATTCACTTGCACTACATGCCCTTAATGAATACAGCAACAACTTACAGAACTCCTGCTTTTTAAGTCCACTTCACCCCCCTCCCCCCCAAAAAAGGGACTTGTAAAATCACCTACTGATTTTTTACTTTATCTTGGAGAAGTTGCTTTAAACAAAACAGTAATATAATTGTTACCTGCTGCGGGTGCGTCCACTTTCTTTTTCTTTTCTTCTTGTTTCTTTGCTGGCTCTACAGCTTTTTCAGCTGTCTTAGAAGAAGCAGAAACAGGTTTTCCTCCTTGTCTTTTGTCTTCAGATACCTAGGAAGTAAAATATGATTAAAAAAATTAACCACTTTCAGGTGCACAGTATTGACTTGTCAATTGAGATCAGAGCAAGAGCAAAACACACAAAAAGAGTGGTCTTGAGTTGAATTTGAAACACAAAGAGAGAGAGGCTTATAGTGTCCATGGGTCATGCAAAGAATTTATCACAGGATGTGGAACTTCATAAATGATCACATGCCCTTGTGCCAACAGACATAATGAACCTAAATGAAAATCCCATAGAAACAAGAACAAAACAAAAATCAAGGCCCTAATGAAAACCCATAGGTCCAGGTGCTGAGAAATGCGTCAGCTACACAGATCATCTCTAACTCTAAAGACTTACAGAGGCAGCCTCTTTCTCCTTCCCCTTTCCCTTCTTCTTCTTGGGGCTCTGTTTGACCTGAAAGCCATCATCCGGCTCAGCCACGGGTGCCGGGAGAGAGACAGGGGCAGAGCTAGCCTCCTTCTTGTTGTCCACTTTCCCTGAAGCTGGGGCTGCGTCCTGAGGAAGGGCCTCCGAAGCCGACGCTGCAGCGGCACCAGCAGCAGCAGCAGCCACCGCTTTCTTCTCCTTCTTGTTCTTCTTTTTCTTTGCCTCTCCGGTTTCCTTAAAAAAAGACATTATTTATCATAGTAGTTAGCAACACGAAAGATTTAGTGTAGGTTTAATTTAGTTTTAGTTAGTGTTTTACAGCACTTGCAACACAATAAGGTTATATAAGTGCCGAAGATTAGATAGTTTAGTTTTAGTAGAGGTTCTACGGCGCTTGCAACTGCATACGGTCAAATGAGTGCCAGAGGATTAGAGGTGTTACAAGAGATTAACAAACACAAAAAAGAAGGATGGGAGATAAGGATGATAGATGTTTGATAGGAAAGAAAAAGCAAACCACATCAGAGCACCCGCCAACCACCCACAGGTTTAGTTTTAGTTAGAGTGTTACAGCACTTGCAACATAAATAGATCATATAAGAGCTAAAAATAAGAGGCAGCAGCCACTGGTATCTTCTTTCTTTTCTTCTTTTTTTTCTTGGCCCCTCCGTTTTCCTTGGAAACTGCATTATTTATCATAATAATGAGAATTACAAGAGAATTTAGTGCAGGGTAAAGGTTCAGTTTTGGTTCGAGTGTTGTTACAACACGTGCAACATAAGTGGGTCGTATAAGTGCTGAAGGAGGTATTACAAGAAAGTAACATACGAATAAAAAGGACAAGAGATAAGGACCAAAACTGTTTGATGGGAAAGAAGGTGCAAACCGCACTAGAGTGTCCATCAACCATCCGTAAGACAGACAGAAACAACAAAGGTAAGAAAAAATGTAGGACCTGCCTGTTGTGCCATTAACCGCCCACTCAAAAACAACAACAGGGACATCATTACTAAAGATGACATTAAATTAAAAACAATATGATTTATAAAGCTAACAAAGTCTTTAATCAGGATGGGGGATGGGGGAGGGGGGCGCGACATCAAAACAGGCAAGAAATGCTTATGTCATTTGAAAAGTGAAGATGAACAAATACATAATTTAACCACCACCACTTCAGTTATGCAAATGGTAAAAGTCCCAACGATCCAATAAACCAATTTGAAATAAAAATCACTGAATTAGTAGCACTTTGTCTGTACTGTTACTGCCAGCACAAAATTGTTACATGTAGCTTTGGACACAAACCACTTTTCAATTACTGTTAAGTCACATGAAGACGCATGAAAACATGTCTAGCTACCTCAGGCGGGGTGACTTCACTACTTGTCTCTGCAGATGGTTTTGCAACAGGGGTTGCTGGTTCATCCTTGTTCTGAAATCATATCAACACTTCTATAAGCATAAAACTCTACTGATGTAACATTTCTCACTTCAAACAACATTAGAGAGGAAAGAAATAAAGAAAAACGCCCTCACACGAATGGAACATATTTTAGAGTTTATTAATAAACCTTAATGAGATACTAATATAGCAAGTCCAATATAAGGCTGAAACCACCAAAAAAAATAAGCTAACTTTATGAAAAAACATACAAATACAGCAAAAACTTTAAAAAAACAACAACAAACAGCCTACCCCTAATTAATTCAGAACCAATTTAGTAAGCTTTGAGCATTATGAACAGATAGTAACACAACTCTCTAGATAATGTAAGTAGGTGTATTTCCCTCCAGACTCATTTACACTAACCTTAAAAAAAAAATATTTTAAAAAAAAATTGTTTAACGACGCTCGCAACTACATAAGACCATATGAGCGAGTGGGACACATTTAACATTTTCAACAGTTGGAAAATAAATTTTTTATTTTGCCTGGGTGGCAGCCAAAGCCTTCTCTTATCGATTTTGGACCACCAAGGGATCTTTAACGTGCGCAACTTGCACACAGGACCTCGAGATTTTTCGCCCTCGTCTGAGAAGGCAGGTGTAGATCTTTCCTACCAGAAGATCAGGGGTGTTGCTGAAAGACAGCAGTAAAAAGAAGCCAGGGAGTAGCAGAAGAAAGAGTCAGGAGCCCAGAGGAGGGGGTAAAGGAGGTGAGGGGGTAAGGGCAGAAAGTGGAGACGAAAGCAGACGACAGAACATTGCTAGAGAGCAAGATAGGAGGCGAAAGGAGACAATTTTAGAGAGGAAAAATTTCCGTCGCTATCCAGATTCAGACCCGGTCGCTATCCAGATTCAAACCCGGCACCTACTAAATCAGAGGTGAACACCTTAACCTCCAGGCCACACTAACCTTCGCAGCAGCAGCCTTCTTTTTCTTCTTGGTCTTGCTGGCCTCGGGAGATCCAGACTCTTCCACCTCTGGACTAGCAGCAGGAGCGGCCGCAGCAGCTGCTTCGATGACTGGGGCTGCAACAACCTCTGGTTCAGTGTCAGCCTCGCCAGCAGAATCAGCACGGCTGGCATCTTTCTTGGGGGCTGCCTTCTGCTTTTTCCCCTTCTTTGTCACCTGGATAGTCGTCCACTCCCCTATAAATTAGACAATTTATTCGATAAGAAATCAAGACCAAAACATTGAAAATTGGCATAGCAAAAATTCTATACGAGATTTTACACACTCATTGTGCATGAGCACTCCCATTAGTCTATAAGAGATTTTACACACTCATTGTGCATGAGCACTCCCATTACTGTGAATAACAAAAGTGTGAGTCCTCCAACAAAGATGCTCTTTCCGTTTTATTTTCGGTGTAGGGTGTTGGAGAGACGCATGGGTGAAAGCACTGACAGGTTCAAAAACCTGAAATCCAAATGAGTAAAATGCCTAAGCCTGAAAATTACACGCATTGAGAAACGTCGCCAGACAAACACACATTCCATCAAGATACATGTAGTACAGGTACTTTCATCAATGCATTCCTTTGAAAACAATCCATCCAACCGGGTTCTGGGTCCGCAAAACAGCAATGCGCTATTCCTGGATGTCAATTTTTTCCCCAGGTATATTTTATCACAATCCCCACTGAGACACATATTTTTTTTAAAGAGCCGTGTTACTGTCACAGTCAACATTTTTTAAAACTACAACTGTGGATTCTTGCTAAATAAGAGTTCAACAATGGTGCATGGCACTTGTGCACACATTGTTTGGGGCTGTAGGTTGGGCTGTTGCAGTTGATGGTGAAATCGGCTGGACATAGAAATCTTTTCGTTATGTACCAATTTTGCGAGAGACAAATTCTACGCTGCACCAAGGAAGATAACCAAGTTGGACAATCAGGTCAAAATTTACATGAATTATGCCCCCTGATTCAAAACCTGCACGCATGATGGTTTGATGGCGATTTAATTTTTAAATTCTGATGCTGTAGTCCTCAGTCTTTACTGAAATAACTTGGCTTGACATAGAAATAGCTATAGCCTGCCCCTTTTCAAACCAACGAAACACTGCTTGTTCCACTGCCCTCTACTTTATCAGTTTATGTCTTTTCCTCCCTGTTTCAGCACTATAATTCTCAATACAATATATTTTCCGGTGTGTTTTTTCTTTGGTTCGGAATCTCAAACGTGTTGCAGATTGGTTTGTTTTTTTATAAATATTGATATTTCATCCACCTCTGCTAGGATCAGCCGTTTGTCCTCAACCGAGAAGTCTTGTTTCTTTTGCTCTGCTATGGTTCACTCTCTTCTACAACAACTTCACCTAGACCTAACTGTACCGGCCAGCTGCTGCATATACGTAGTCTCTAGAGAAAGCGCCGACACACATGGCGGCAATAAGGCCCTACTGGCTACATGCCTTCACAAGCAGACTCTCCGATCGCATGTCTAAACCAAATCTGCCACTCTACGCGCTATGAAATCTAAAAATCTGGATCTCAAGGAAAAAAATCGGGATCAACGACAATTCACCAAGGTGACTAGCCAGCTGAATAAAATTTTTTCCAGGGGTGTCCATAAATATATTATATTCCGTGTATAGGCCCCCGGCGTGCGCTGTGTGTGTGTGTTTTATTATTAATATTTTTAAATTCTGAAGTATCTGTCAAGGACCCCTTGTCCAAGTGTCTAAACCCCCCCCCCCGTAAGCCTCCAAAGACGCTTCAACCAGTGTGCATGAACTTTAGTTGACCCCGTCAACGGACGGTTCCTGACACACGCAAAACTCGCATGTCGCACGCCGAAGTCATGTCATGTGATGAGAACGCAAGTTAAAAAGTTTTACTCACGGGTCTTGATGACGGGCCCGACTTAACAGAACTTCGAGGTGGAGAACGCTTGTTTTGAAAGTAACACCAGAACTATGAATAATATTGATCATTTGTGTGCCGCAATTGAAACAGTTATCAGGCCATCATTGGGGAATTCTGAAATTACGGGTCCGGTAGCCTAACAACAATAGACTACACCGCAACTCAAGTGAGCAGGCCAGATCTAGATCTAGGATGACCGCTGAACACTCCTGTGTCATATGAAACAATGAAACAAACACGTCCTTGGCCTACACCCAGGCTACACTACTCATACTGCCCCCGGCTTAGGCCTATTGAGAGATCATAAGCTTTAACGCCTCCTACTGTGCCCCTCCCCCCTCTCTCTCTTTCTCTCTCTCTCTCCACGGCTTCATCGGTAAAAACGAAATTTGCGGCTGTCTATAGGTCTGCATGTAATTAGATCTACCATCGATGTCGCCGATTTTTTCCCTCGTTATATAGGTACGAATTGTAAAGTCTTTGTGTGTGTTTTAATACACAGAATAATATAGGCTCCACGTCAAAATTCGGGACCTCAAATTATGTTTGCTACATCTAGTATTCTTGTTTTGTTTGTTTAGTATAGGGTTTTACGGCGCTCGCAACTGCATAAGGTCATATGAGCGCGCGGGACACACCTAATACTTTTTCGTTGGTAGGAAGCCTACTCTTATCGATTTTAGACCACCAAGGGATCTTTAACGTGCGCAACTTGCACACGGGCCCTCCGAGATTTTTCGCCCTTGTCCGAGAAGGCTAGGTGTAGATCTTTCCTACCAGAAGATCAGGGGTGTGGCAGAAAGACAGCAGTTAGGAGGAGCCAAGGAGTAGCAGTAGAAAGGCTGCAGAAAGAGTCAGGAGCCCAGAGGAGGGGGCAAAGGAGGTGAGGGGGTGGGGGCAGAAAGTGGAAATGAAAGCAGACAACAGAACATTGCTAGAGATCAGGAAAAGATGTGAAAGGAGACAATTTTAGAGAAGAAAATTTTTTGGTCGCTACCCGGAATCGAACCCGGGACCTTTGAATGAGAGGCCAACACCTTAAACTCTAGGCCACGAGAGCCCCCATCTAGTATTCTATGGGCATCTAATCTACATTTACTGAAAGAATGAACATCTTTTTAAAAAAATAAATAAATCACAATATTATTTAAAGTTTGACTGCGACGTGCTTGTGCTTGTCCAAACGACCCACAGACATGAACCAAAGATGTCAAAACCAGCCACAATTTGCAAAATATGGCTAAACCTGGGCAAATCACAGAGCGGTCTTGCCAGATGAATAACATCGAGGCCGTTGGCCTAGTGTTTACAGCGACATAGATCAAACTGGGGTATTTCTGGGCTTGCAACGCTCATTTTGGCCAGTCTGGCAAGCTGAGACAGACCAGCAACGTAACCAAATGCAAAGAGCTAGAGACTGGATGGGGAGAATGACTACTACTTCCAAAATGTATGAAGTCGACAATTTGTCCCAAACCGGAAAAGTTGGAAAGCTTATTTTCAAAAGCCAGAATTCCGGCATATGCCGGAAAACTTTCACCCATGGAGAGAGGGCAAAGTCATACTAGATTTGAAATCAGCAGAGAGGAAATAAATGAACTCATTGAAATTTTTGTACATTTTCTGATATCATGGAAATGTGTGAGGTGAGAGGATGGTTCTAATGATATCTATGTCCAAATTTTTACTGAACAGGTTGAAGAAGACGATAAACTTAAAAATTACAAGATAAATATCAAGTATCTAAAAAGATCCTGTAACATACCATCATCTTCAGCATCCTTCCTCAATGGGGCAACATCTTCCTTCTTGGCCTCCTCCTTTGCCAATTGCCTCTTCTGGGAGAAACAAAATCAAAACAAGTTTACAGTAAAAATAAGCAAAGTCTTGATGGAACAGAAATATCTCATATTTGAACAAAGTTATAAGCACAAATATTTCCAATTGAAGAAAAGATGTTCAAAGGACCAACAAATGCTCTGAGACACATTAAAAACCTTTTTATCGTCAGCGCCATTCCACAAACGCCCAAATCAATTTATGTGGGTAACTGGATAAAGCCATCTAATAAGACTTAAATGGCATCTTATGGTATATAGTTTCATTACTTCCTGCCTAGTTATTAACTAAAAAATAATGAGTGCCCTGGTCTTGGTTTTAATTTGGGCCCATCTTCTTTTTAAAGTTTTCTTTTTAAAAAAATGACCAAGGCGCTTGTGGAATAATTTGTTTTTTGTAAAGTGTTTTACGGCGCTCGCAACTGCATAAGGTCATGTGAGCGTGTGGGACACACCTAATATTTTCAGTTGGCAGGAAATTTTGAATTTTGACCGGGTGGCGGCCGAAGCCTACTCTTGTCGATTTTAGACCACCAAGGGATCTTTAACATGCGCAACTTGCACACGGGCCCTCCGAGATTTTTCGCCCTTGTCCGAGAAGGCTAGGTGTAGATCTTTCCTACCAGAAGATCAGGGGTGTGGCAGAAAGACAGCAGTTAGGAGGAGCCAAGGAGTAGCAGTAGAAAGGCTGCAGAAAGAGTCAGGAGCCCAGAGGAGGGGGCAAAGGAGGTGAGGGGGTGGGGGCAGAAAGTGGAAATGAAAGCAGACAACAGAACATTGTTAGAGATCAGGAAAAGATGTGAAAGGAGACAATTTTAGAGAAGAAAATTTTTTGGTCGCTACCCGGAACCTTTGAATGAGAGGCCAACACCTTAACCTCTAGGCCACGAGAGCCCCCATCTAGTATTCTATGGGCATCTAATCTACATTTACTGAAAGAATGAACATCTTTTAAAAAAAATAAATAAATCACAATATTATTTAAAGTTTGACTGCGACGTGCTTGTGCTTGTCCAAACGACCCACAGACATGAACCAAAGATGAGGTGAAAGGAGACAAATTTAAAGAAGAAACTTTTTCGGTCGCTACCCGGAATCGAACCCGGGACCTTTGAATGAGAGGCCAACACCTTAACCTCTAGGCCACGAAAGCCCCCTGTGGAATAATGCTGACTATAAATATAGAGAGAGAGATACAGTTGAACCTGCTCTAATGACCACCTGTACAAACAGCTACTTTCCACCCCCCCCCCTTGCATTTATCTAAAAACATTATAATGACACTACACTGTGTAAGATGGCCCCTTCTGTCCTAGATAACGGTTAGCCATCTTAGACAGTTCGCATACATAAGTAAAACAAGCAAAAAAAAGGAGATAAACATTTTTATGTTTGCCCCTTATATTCATCTTTTGATTGTTCCACAGAAAGCATTTCAAGTTTTGAGGTTTGCATTACCTTTTCAGCCCTTTCCCTCTTGTTTTCTTGTCTTGACTCTTGTTTATCTTTTTTGTTTGCAGACTTTGACTCAGCAGGTTTGGCTTTGGGCGAGGAAGCACCTTTCACAGATTTAGAAGATGGCAGAGCTTCTGCAGGAGGCTCATTCACGACCACATGGCCATTGGATGGAGCTTTCCCTTGCTGAAATATTTTTCAAAAACAGCACAAGTTTAGCTTTCAAAACAGAATAGAATGAACATATAAATCAGATCAAAGCAAAATGATGGTGCTATCATCAGACTCTCAATCTTAGCTTGGGAATTTTTACCCGCACTCATTGACTAATATAGAGACCACACATGGGCACTAGCTAAAAAGCAACCGGTTGCAAAGGTGCAAACTCAAACCCCCCCAAAAAACCCTCAACCCAAGTAGCAGGTCAAAAATGAGCATCTCTAGAAGGGTTATTGAATGAGCGTAACCACTCATAATGACTTAACCTATGAGATGGAGTTATTCATTATGTGTGACACTTATTTAGAAAACTTGTGTGTGCTATAAAAGAAAAGGCACTATTTTCATTATCAACTTAACATCCATGGAATTCAAGGCAAAAGCACACGTTTCCATGGCCTCACACAACGCGCGCACTGACTGCAGAGTGACCCTGGCACCTGCCGGGAACGCTGGCCGAACGAGAAGTACTCATGTGTTGATGCTCGCTGATTTGATTATGAGTAAATATGTTTGTAACGTACTGGCAGCGGTTGGCAGCTATGCAGTTGCCTTCACTTGTATTCTTTAATAAAAACTGAATGTGTCTTGTGAAAATCAAAACCAGAGATGCTGCAACGAATTAGAGAGGCAGGCTGAACTTTTACTCTTCATGACTGACATATCTGAGGGAACGTGATGAAATCAGGCGCTCGTCAAAATAAAGTTTATTTTTCCAGTTTGGCAATTTTTACATCCAATTTTAATTTTTTGGGGCTCAACTCAACACTTTTAATGTCCATCTAGAAAAACACTGCAGTGTGGATTTTATTGAAAAATGATGATTAAGGCACAAAAAAACGTAAATCAATGTTCAATTTCCAAGGACTTTCAAGCTTTGGAAGGCACCAAACTTTGGCAGTCATTTTCTCGCTATTTTACTCCTAAAACCAGGTGACCCCCCCCCCAATTCTTTCAATCTGAAATATCTCGACCCGTATTGAAAACTAGCTTCGTAATTTTTTTTTTATTGAAAGCAAGAGAAATGAACAAACTTTTAAAAGATAATACCAATAAATAATAAAATATACACATTATATAACATAATAACTCTATCTGCCCAAAAATGACAAACGCCTGATACCACAGCGTCATGACACATATATGGCTAACGGGTGAGTGATTTGCGCTTCAAAAGTCGGGTAGTTTAATTCAAGCCCAATTACCACAGCTTCAACGTTAACTCTGGTCCTGCGGGGTTAACCGGAAGAACGTTCTTATCGATCGATGACCCACTTATGTCACCCGTGAGCTTTCGCAGCGGAGCGCCGGGGTCAGATAGCAGTCACACGAGCGTCATGCGGGAGTCAAGAGTGAAAGAGAACAAAGAAAAAAATGCCTCATCTTTTATAGCAAATTGATGCGATCTATTAATAAGTGTTATTGACCGAAAGAATAATCCCCTTATCTCCTCGCCAGCTGATCAGACGCTGAGATTCCAGATTTCACACCGGTTATGAACTTGCTAACAGCCGCTTCAATAATCGTTCAAAAAAGGGGGGAAAATGGTCAAATAGTTTTTCCATTAAGTGGCTCTCAAAATTTCTCCTGGTACGGCCATGGTTTTAAAAATCATCAAGTACGATTATTTGCATCACAAAACAAGAGTTTTGTGTAAAAATGAGCTCGTTTGAAAAATGTGAAAAGATGTTTGCATTGAAAGATGAAAGTCCTATTTCTTAAATATATTATCCTTTCGAGTTCCTAAGTTACTAGGTCAAAATGCTCATATATTTCATTGGATGAACATCTTTACCGACGCTCTGTTATTTCAATCAACGTTTCGTGTTTCCAATTCAACGCAGAAACTTCCAGAAGGGCACACAGGCACAAACAGACTGAGGCACACACATTTTAGCGCAAGGATGCAGACCCCACATGAAATGAAATGTTGTTAGCCACACAGGAGGACTGATCCTGGACCAGCAGGGGAACGCCGCGCGGGAATGCGCTTTCGGCGAACATTTATCCGGGACCAGAATATTAAGTAGCAATGCCAATGAAAATTTAAATTTTCACTTTAGCCCTTTTTTTTTGGTACCTAAGAAAGAATTTTCAATTCTAAGAATTATGCTTCTTGAATTTTAAGAATCTGTTTATAAATAAAAAAGTTATGGGGCTGTAAAGGTCGTCAAAATATGGATGACCCACATATAGGAAAATACTCCTAAAACGTGG